ACTACTTCGAAGACTAAAATATGCGATCTGTATTTTATACCTATAGACACAATTATTGTMCACCTATTATTATTATTTTGTATTGTTTAGTTATCGTATTTGTTCGCGTAGTGTCGTTAATCGCATGTACCTATTTAGGTTTCCTATAAGCATCGTTCAGATGGTATGCGATAAGCCGATACAATGTACAAACGACGTCGTTCGAGCAGATATGACTCTAAATATCCGTTTATAAATCGATACAGAGACATCCTATATTATTATAGATATAATAGTATTTTATCTAATAATTATTGCYCCCTACATGCACATCTCCGGAATACAGCGAGATATAGTGGAGTGGCCACTATACTCAGGAATATATGAAAAACCTAMKTGTAAAYTATTTTTGATTTTAAAAAATTAAAATTTTTGTAACTATTTTAGTAATACTGTAGATAGGTAGTATAGTGAATTTTCATTAAATTTTCGCGCCCATTTGTCTTGCGTCCACTCAACTCGCGCCTAATTGTCCCTACGCCTAGTTGGCAGCGCCGAGTTGGTCGTGCCCAGTTGGGGGCGCCCATTTGTCCTAGACCGTTTTTTTTATTTTCTTCAACTTAATATGATTACCAGATTATGAACAAATTAATATTCATCTAAAGTTAGTAGCAGTTTCGTGAGAAGTAACCAATATTAATCCACTGTATATTAATGTGACAATTCAAATATTTTAGGAACGGTACCAACTGGAAACATCGTGATAGAGTATGGCAGTGGAGTTCCTTTAGAAATCACGTGCATTTTGCAATCTGATAAAATAATAGTGCACAACTTGTTTGGTCATCGAACGGACAGTAGTAATATAACTAAATTTCCAAGCCACAGGATCATGTTTTATAAAAACGCTGAAATTGTACCCAAACAATATGTGACCATCGTCAACGCAACGGCGGCTCAACTTCACATTCCAAATCCCCCAGTTGGCCAAGATACCTATTATTGTACATTATTACTTGATTATGAACGGTATCAAAACGAAAGTTATGGTTATCCCAGCGATGATCACTCATATAATATGTCATCTAATGGTTCCTCTACGTTACCCACTGTACAATATGTAACTGCTGACTCGGACACAAATGGATCTCATCCACTGGGATCACACGTTGTCGTGTGTTTTAATAGAGTCTATGTTGGATGTAAGTTAACTACAACATTGAAATATATTTTGTTTTAATTATGCACTATATTAATTAAATTATAACAAAAATTGAATAACCGATACTAAAGTTTATGAATAATGAACTTAAAACATTGTGTCTATCCTACCTTAATTTCGTGTGTTTTTATTAAAAATTATTAATTTCATAATGGTTAGAAATAATATTTAAGCAGGTTTATGTGGATCACTCAAACCAATTTGGATAAAGAATCAATTATTTGATTATATCAATTTTTCAGCAATTTTTTGAAATTATTTATTTTTAAATTTTTATGAACGAATGAATTTGGAAAGAAAATTGACTAGAACCTTAATATTATACAACAATCATCTTATATTCAAGACTTAAAAAGTTATGACTTATATGATTTAAAACTTTAAAAAACCATTTCAAATTACTTAGATAAACCAGCCATTGTAAGACATTTTGCATGTATCTCTAACAATTGGGTCAGTTTGAGGTGCAATTGGAACACATCAGAGAACCCAATAAAAACTACTTATACGTTATTATTCAGATTACCTGATCGTGCTGGTGGCAGGTAATGTATTATAGCTATTAATAATATTTTTAATACATAATGTGTAAATTTTTTATACGAATAGAATATTCATAAATTGTCCAACGGATTCAGATATCAAAGAAAATACTTGCTATTGGGATTTCAATACCACGCCCATGTATAGACAACTGTATGAGTTTTACGATTTCAGATTAAATGGCCAAAATGTTTTAGGAAATTCATCTACATTTTTTAACTTTCATCATTATGCCCACAGTATATTTCAATAACAAAATCATATTTTAATTAATTTAATGATCCATATATTATGCAACATTATTTAATATTTTTTTTAAATTTAGTTATTCCCGCTAGCCCTAAAAATATAACCGTGATTGATATAACAGAATCGAGTGCTATGTTGAGGTGGTCTGTGGGGACTATGACAAACTTTTCACGGGGACTTATTCATAAGATCGAATACAAGTCACAATGGGATTCCAATCCTAAACGTTGGCACGTGAGTGTTAAAAATCCGCAAATAAAAAAAAAAAAATGATATGATAGTTGCAATTTTTTTCACAGACTATAAATACAAGTGACGTGCAGTGTGTGTCATTGCCGTCCAATCAAACAAATTCATTTATGTATTCTATGAATTGCCAAGAACGTGATAATAATTATTATTATATAAATGTTACTAATCTAATATATCCGTTTGCACATTACGATTTTCGTATATACGTACGTTCTTCGGTTGCTCGAGGGGAGGATAAATGGTCACCTCCTGGTTACATAAATCTGAAAACCAAACCTTCTAGTAAGTTAATACTTAGTAGCCTATTATAATATGTCTATATTAAAAACTACAAACTGATTTTAATTTGCTTAATTGAAATTGATAGGTATATATGATGTACCCATATATAAACTAGCTATAGGTAATTAGGTATTATTAATATACATTAGATACCTTTAAAAACAAATTTGATACAACACTAATACTTATGGTAATATACTTATAGTAAAAAAATACTACCTATTTATTATTTCGGATGCAATTTTCATGAACCATAGTACCATCAAAGCCGCCACGAACTGATATTGGGAGCTTTGAGAGTCTTACGTTACGAATCGATAAATCCAAAAGAAACGTGATCATTTATTGGCAAAAAATTGATGATAGCGAAAAATGTGGAGATTCATTTGAGTATCGTGCTTACTATACGTCAACAACAGAACAAAACAAGACCACGTTAGTGCCATTTATACATTTTTCTTGATTAAATCTTTTTTCTTTTTTTTTTTTTTTTGATACCAACATTGTTTAAAAATTTAGCATTCACTATAGCGATGAAATATATGAAAATTATGCTAAGTTTAATGAACTTAGTACTTCGATTAGTTACAACTTTACAGTGTATTCATCCAATAAAGAAGGTTTGTCTATAGAGTATTCGACAATATACGTACCTAGTGAATCACAAAGTAAGAATTTGATAAATATATCAATGTCGATATGAATATTTTTAACATTTAATTGTTACTAGGACTTGAAAAACCATTATTACTGACAAAAATTGTATTTGATCAAAGAGGTGTTTTTGAACTATCCTGGAAAAATGTTGGTACTACGAAATTGTCCACTGCCGATGAATTGAATTACTATACATTATTCTGGTGTGAAAATGTTAATCGTCATCCGTATCAGTGTAATGTATGTAAATTAATATATTAATTTTTAAATACAATTAGTACACACGTAGTGACGAAGAACTGGTTTTGAAAAACATATTTTTATTGTATACGTGCAGCTTATAAAAACATTAATTTTATCTTTTTGTTTTTAAGATTTTATTTTTTAATGAATAGCTATCTTTATGTAAAAAGTTCGTTATATTTTGATATAAGTAATATAATATATTAAGAAGATAGGGGTAAGATGGTGAAATTATTCATAATATGTATTCAAATCATATAATATTACACTATTAGTGTAAAAAAGTTATTTTTTTGTGGTAGATATTTAATTTATTTAATTTTGTCAATCAAAGTTCTAATATTTCAAATACTTTAGTCTAAAACATGGAGTTTTAACGTTTTTCATATACATAAACATACCCCTAGAGTACAGTAAAAGAGCGCAAGGGTTTATTTTAATTTAATTTTCTTAAATATTTTACTTACCAATTGTATTCGTTTTAATTTATAATAAATACGAGTATATATTTTAATCATAGCTATTTATGCACTCTGAAACTCTTGATGATGTGCTACTGGGTCGGCCTTATCTTTTTGATGCATTTTTGAAACGTGTTAGATATTCCTGAACAATTGATCGTCTAAATTCTAACTGAGTAACCTTATGACCAGAATTAACATAAAGTTTCCATGAATTGGTTATAGCAAAATCAATCAGCCATGTAAATAAGACCACCACCATTTTTTACCTAGAATTCCAATTCTATGGCTATGACTATAGCTATGTTTTCATCCATTTGGTCTGTTCTACTCATGTATTTATTGTACATAAAAACACAATTTTGAATATCAACTTGCACAATTATAGTCTTACCTTTTGGTCTTACTTTGTGGGGTTACTCCGTGTACTGTTGAACCAATGGTGACTACCCAATTGTCTTTCCACCTTGCAAAAAACACTCCATTATTTTTATCAATTTCCTATTCTGATTCTCCTCTTTCTTTTTTTGCATAATTTTTTGATTTGACATGGCGCAATTTTTGGGCAATCTATTTTCTMTCATAGTCCCTGTACCGTGATAACCATTCATTTTTAAAAACTTGAGCAAGTTGAGGCCACTAAAAAGGTTATCATTGATAATAACTTATCAATATAAAATCTGTAAGGTAAATTTTTCTTTTCCTTAGGAAATTCTTCAAGCATTTTCATAAATGGAGCTGTGCGTTTTCCAAACATGTTTTCATACAATACGTTTCTTTTTGGACTAATTCCTTGGTAAAAATCAAAATTAATGAGATACCCGTCTGGAGCATTCAAACACCAAATTTTATATCCAAATCGCACTGGTTTGCCTCGTATAAATTGCTTGCAGCTATGTTTTCCGAAATATTTGACCATTGATTCATAGAAATTTAAATTTTGAGAGGTTACGAAATGATTTAAAAATTTATCTTTTAACATATCCATTACTGGCCTCAGTTTCCATACTTTGTCGTTTACATTAATTTCATTATTATTAGCACAATGTATAAAACGCATAATTGAAATAAAGCGATCTCTGCGCATTGTATCTTTGACTAATGAATTCCCTACATCATCTAATGAGTCCCAATAAAACCGTTTCCCAGGAAGTCCATTATATCCACTTAGTACCAATATACCATTAAAGCATTTAATTTCATCATTAGTGACATCAAAATTATTAACATTTTTGAAAAGTGCATATAATTTGGATTGCTCTATTAAATATGAAATAAGTTAATCGTCAAAAAAAAGTTCAAATATTTCAACCGGTCTCATATGTGAATATTTAGAAAAACCTGTAGTTGGAAAATTCAAATCAGGCATTTCATAGTCACCTTTTACCCAATCAGTAGTTTTTTCATTATCAGGTATATTGAAATCAGTGTAGTCGTCCAACTCGGCAATAGTTTCGAGTGCAATCGTATTTTCATTTACAATGTTATTTCCACATTTCAACCTAAAAAAAATTACAAATATTTTTAAGTATATTGCATTTTTTCATTGCAGAACATAATATATTACCTTATTTCTGCTCCGGCAGTTAATTAACGAGCTGATAAATTACAAGTATATGCACCTTCATCTTCATTGCCCGAATCTCCACCAGTCAATACGTGAGGGTCTGGTGGTTCAATAAATATACTTTCGACATCATTTTCGTCATAATTTGACTAAATGATGTCAAGAACTTCTTGTAAGGTTAATCCATCTCTATAGTTCAAAAAAATAATATTTATGACACTGTATAAACGATAAAAATTATATTTTATAAATCATTATAAAAAAATATAGGAGTATCACTAGAATCAATATATGTATGGTTTTCAACAAACTAAAGACTAAAGAACCCATACGGTAACACACACATTTCCAAGTACACTACACAGTATGTAATTGTAATGAGCAAGTAGAACCTTTTTGTATTAAGCATACACACACAAAGATTCAAAAAAATATTAATCATACATTAGAATAAAATATTTATATATAATTATACTTACTCTAGTTGAGAATCCATTGCCGTAAAAAAGTCTGTAGATGAACAAAACGGAATAATTGTTATAAATATTATGAACTGTCGTTAGATGATAACCACACTGCTAGTAAAATCGATAAACATACGGAGAATCAATTGCTATGATTAGATAAGAAAAATATAACCACAGACGTTGTGTACGTTTGACTTATAAATAGATTTTGTTGTGTTACCATATGGACACACCAGGCGTTGAAGGGACTGCAATACACTTGTTAAGAACTCCAAATGTATAATATACCACAATTCCTGGGGTTTACCCCTGTCTCTTCCTTCCATTTATCTAAACTAATATTCCTGAATATGTGTCAGAGACTCTATGGAATGAATCAATGTTTCTGATACCTATATTATTTAATGTATATTATTATTTGTATATTTTATATACAAATATTATTTTTATTTCATATTATTTTATATTATATGTATATTTTAAATAATGTTATTATTTAATGTAATTTATATGTTTTTCAGGGTTATATGAACTGGACGCATGTTCCTAGTTCAGAATTTCGCTCTAATGTCACTATATTTAATTATAAAGATAACAACTTTTATCAATTTGCAATAAGTTCTAATAGACGACGTTTACTAAGTAATGGGACCAATAATTATAATAAAATCTATTGGAACAGTAGTGGAATGGTGTGGGAATCTTGTACGTAATTATTTAACTGCATCCAGTTCATAAAACCCTGTAGTGAAATGGTGTGGGAATCTTGTACAATACAAAATAATTTAAGTATGAAGATCTATTATTTTTGTAGTTTGTAATAAATGCTATAATTTGTAAATGATCATTTTGTATTTATTTGTTTATGATTGTGTAGGTGCAAGAAAAGTTGAGAACGTTTGGGTTGATTTGATCAGCTCAACGTTTATTGGGTTAAGATGGAATATTGACTGTACCGACAGAATAGGTTCAGTTGGCGAATATCAAATATTTTATTGTGCTGTTGTTTCCACAAACAATTACATTTGCAATGGTAAGCATATTTCGAAAAATTTAACTTTCAATCGCTGAGAAGATTGAGTAAGAAATATAAATAATTATTACTTATTATGCGTATTGCGAGTCCTTTTAAGTATTTGAGTAAAAGTATTCAAATAATTTTTTAGGTAATGTATAACTTTTTAAATATTTATAGCATGAAGTATTTTGAATGGTATTTCAAATAATTTTTTTGTATTAAATACTTATTTGTCTTGAATGTTTTTTTTCTTTCGATTAATTAATTTTTATTCAAAATATTTGGTTAGAAATAGAAAAATATTATTGTTAAGTGCCAACTGGCAACTAAAACAATTGAATAATAGTTTTATTTAATATTCTGTTTTTCTCTGTTAACCGTAGCCCGAAGGTTTCTAAAAATAGACATTAATTAACGATATTTCCTTTTGTATTATTATATAGGTAACTGTTGATAATATCAAATATAATGTCTACCCTTAATGGTTGTGGGGGATCGCAAAAGTAATATAGATTGTTTAACTATATGTCTGAAAGCTTGCAACGTTTTATTCATTAATTTAATGAATGGGGGCCGGAGTGGCGCAATGGTCACGCAGTTGACTACGACTCACACAGTCATCGGTTCGATTCATAGCAAAATGCAAAAAAATTTTGTGTGGTTCTACGTGATCATCAAATCCACACGCTGTCGTCCGATTGCGTCATCCGGTTTCCAACTAAGTCCCACTCCACTGTAAGTGAAGACCAAACATGTCTCCTCTAGGCGAAGAGGGGGGAGGTAGTATCATGTATAGAGTGATGTATACATAGATAAATAGATCACATGATCTCCCTACTACCCACTTGTGATAAGCATTGACGAAGACCTAGAAGTCGTTTTAATTAAAAAATACAAAAAAAAAAAATTAATGACTTGTGTAATGTGTAGTAGACAGTAATTGGTAGTTGAGTAGTTCGTAAATGTGTACAATCTGTCTGTTGAAAGTGTGATTTTTTAGTTTTAACAGTGTCAAAATCCAGTGATGGAATAACATAAATAAAAATTAATTATCTACTTTAAGTTTTAATGTGAGTAATTATAGCCATGATACTGAATTTTAAATTCTGAACGGAGCAATACGTTCGTATTGATTTTACAATGTTATTTTTTTTTTGTGTCTGTGTACACGATAAGTGGTCAAAAAAATCTTCAATTTTAAACTTCAGTAATTGTTCCGGTTGGAAAGTGAATCTAGTTGGTACATTGGAGAGGTAAAATTTGGAATTTCACAGTAGTTTTCAAGAAGACCGGGAAAAACAGAAAAAAAATTAAGGAAAAAYGGGAATTTTTACGCAAAATTAATTTTTGAGAAAATCGAATTTTGATATTGGTGTAACTCTAAACAAATTACCATACACACATTAAATTTTTACTGAATGTTTATACTTACATTTTCTATASTTGATATAATTTTCAAAATATTTTAACTATTTTTAAGTTATTTAAAGACATTTGAAATTGTCGAGCTTTTTAGTTTTTTTTAAAAAAATAAATAGGCTCTTTTTTTATATTTGTAATTCCCGAGATTTTAAGATAATAAATATGCTCCAAAAATAAACTAAATGCTAAAATATGAAAATTAAATTTCGTATACCGCATCGTTAGGTTATAAAACAAATTTTGGTGTAAACTAGCTATTTTTTTGACCAACCAATAAAAATATGCAAATGCATACAAGTGTTGGTCCTAGTAATAAACATATATGTATTTAATACCTAAAACAAAGTGATTATAAACCGACTATGTGCCAATAATACCTACGTTAATTAGAAACCTACTTCAAAAACCAAAAGTATTTGCAAATATTCCAAATAGTTTTTTAAAGTATTTGAGTAGTATCTTAAATACATAGAAAAATGTAATACTGAGTAAATACTCAAATACTTTTTAAAAGTATTCTATACAAGTACCTACCTATGTGTATTGCTATAGATTATATTGATTGAATATATACATATAGAGTATTTCACATTTTCACAGAACTGCCTAGGTCGGATGTAATCTGTGGAAATAGAAAAGTAAATCGTTCATTATACACGATAAGTCTATAACTTATGTGAGATTAAAGATTTCATTAATAAAAAATATGTAATATAATAATTATATTACATTATAATTATTATAATGCCACAATACACATAAAAACTTAATATTTAAATATATACTCGGTCTCTAAAATAAACAATCAATTTTTGTTCATCGTGGTTGATGCGATTGAAAAAAAAAAACCCTTCAAAAATTAAGTGATTGCAGATCAAACCGGGTCGTAGGTGGGAAATGCGCAGCAATAACGAAAATTAGTGGGCTGACTGATTAATCTCTTTTAAAATAGAGTATAGGCAAATTGTATGATATGAAATGGGATTAAGATACTGATATAGCGACGATACCTTACAATTTGGTATACCACGGTTTTCTATTAAGGTTGGAGCTCTGCAAGTAATCACATATTGAAATGGCAAGAATAATAAACTAAAAATGCTAATTGTAGTCACCCTGATTTTGCATGTGAAACACACCACAGATTTTAGTTTTGTCCTAAAATATAAAATCAGTCTATGTCTTATGTCTTGATTATAAACTACATAGTATACAAATTAATTGAATGTGACTATTGATCTTGTCCCTAATTAACAATAATTAGTAGAAAAACAAGAATTTTTATATATTTTATAAAATGTTACAAAATGAGATTATCTTATTCCTCCACGAATTCCTCAATTTTGTTCCCAAATTTCTACTACTTAAGTATCTACTCACCACGGTAAATTTATGATGATGGCTGTTGACGTTGGCGTCGTTGGCGAGGGCAAGTACGTTAGAATATTCAGTGGTGAGGATGGACGAGTTTTGATCGCCACCCAGTAGCGTTCTCTTAGCGACCAGACTAAAAATACGTCAGTTTGACATAGCTTTGTATGGGAAACATATAGAAGCGACATAGAATGGATATTTGTGGCAGAGACTATGCATACTCGTACATATTTTTATTTTATAATTTAATATAATATCATTGGTATTTAAAAATAATATCTTGKTTGTATCCATATTATTAGTGTATAATATTATGATAGTTGCTGTAGCGAGTTAATATGTGATTTTTGTATGTACATTAGGTGTTTAGCGGACACGGACGTTTTGGTGTCGCCGTATAGGCGTTGCAGTTTTGGCGAACAAGTTTGATACATTTCAGGTTTTTCCAATGAAATAAGATCTAAACATGCTGGTGGAGTAAACTGAACTTCTCTCCTTTTTCTTTTGATTTGCTTTTTTAATGCATTATTATTCGAAAGTACTTCCTAATATATAATTAAATTAAAAAATTACGAACCTATTATACATTTTTAATGTATTAGCTTTTTAATTTTTACTTTATAAATTATTAATTTTGTATTATGTTTGATATTATACTACATAAATAAATTATTTAAATGAATAGCACGGCAAAACGGCCAGAGCCAAAACAGCCATGCCCAAATGGTGGCGCCAAAACGTCATAGATCAAATACCTTATAACTGTTTTATTAAATTCTTAGTAATGTATGGAAATTGTTCGTTTATTTAAATTTATAATTATTTTTAATCTGTTTTATACCGTAGGATCCATGTTGTCAAAAACAATGAGCAGAGAAGCTGCACAAAAAGACGGAGGTTTTATATTATTAACGAACCTTGAGCCTTATACTACGTACATTGTTTCCATAACAATAAGTACAAATTATGGGAAAGGTATACATAGTGATCCTTTAACCATTACCACATTAGGCTTAGGAGGAGATTGGTATTTAAAACAAGAATATCCCACATATATAAAACAAATAATTAAACATAATTTTTATTCCTAATGCATGAATTGTGTATATTTCTTTCACAATACAAAATATAATGTTATTTTATAATATTTTTGATCATAAAACTATTTGTATATCTATACAGATTGATTCTAATTAATAAGAATTAGAATTTAAATTACTCCTCTTAGTCCCAAGATATTTAGAGATTTAGTACTTCATCCATGCACTATTCTGTGAAAAAGTATTGAAGACATTGTATATCTTGTGTAATTTAATGAAGTATGTACTCATAACGGCACTCTTATAGTTAACACTCTCTTTATATTACTTAGAATTTAAGTTAAGCCACTTCTGTATACAACCTTTTTACTCTAATTTTTTATCAGTAAGCACAATATTGTTGTCAAAATATTATTAAATCAATATAATTTTTTTTTTTTTAACTAACTATTTTATCAATTTTATCAGTATTATAATTATTAATACTATTATTGATCTTGTATTACCTACTGCATTTGCGAATGTACTAACAGTTAATCATTCTAACACTATTATTGGTCAATAGGTACTTCAGTATTAATAATATTTATTTGTAATTTGTTTATTCTTATTTTGCAAGTCCCGCTACATTTTAACTAAAATATTTTGTGAAATCTTACTTCAATAGTTATGAATAATATGAATGTTAATAAAAATACAAAATAATGTTATTTGAATATTGAATAAGGTGTAATATTTTATAATTAATAATCTATACACCTATACAGGGTGATTACTTTATCATGAACCAGTCAATATCTCGGTAAATATAAAGAATTTGAAGATCATTTTTTTTACATTTTCTAGATTTTATTATTTTAATATATTTAATTTTAACTGCTTATCTTATTTGATAAGACACTATCAACTTACAATTTTCAAATGGGAATACTTATTTTCAATAACGAAAATTTATAAAAAATTTTTTTAACCTTAACAGAAGGTATTTATTTTAAGTAATCTATTTGCGACTTATTAACGTTTAAATATTCGTCCAATTTACTGATACTGAGCTATTATCAAACCCAAAATCAAAAACCAGAAATCAATACGAAATTAAATCTCAATTTAATGATATTTATAATGGTCATAAACAATAACAACAAATAATAAGTACTAAGTACAAAAGCTTATATGAATTGGACCTCACTACCTTACTGTCCTATCCCTACTCTCAGGCGAATACAGAGTTTCGGGACGTCGGGTGAACAACGTCAAGCCAGCAACTGTGTCAGCTATAAAGTATAAAAGTAACATTTTATAATTTACCACTATCAGTGGCGTGCCCAGGATTTTTAAATGGTAGCTGGGGATCAAAGGAGGTTTGAATTAACACTATTGTTAGTCCTAGACACTAATGGCCAAAAAATAATAGGTCCTAAAATATATACGATATATAAATATAATAAGCTACTATCAGCTATCATACAATTATATATTTTATTGATAATTTTATAAAATTTAATTTATTAAAAAGTAAATAAATAAGAATAAATAGTTACTAGAGTTGTATAATGATTAAATAAATATTCAAACTTTTGTCTGTATATCATAAGAGATATAAATAAATATTGATTAAAATWAAAAAATATGACAGACTTTTGAATATACTTATTACACTACCTTAAGTAAAAAATAAAAATAAATAATCTACTTTAAAGTGTAATTTTCTGGCTTTAGGTAGTAGTAAGTTTAAAACGTTGTCAGCTGTAACTTTAATTTCTTGATGAATATTTAGAAGCGCTAAACCATTCAATCTATTTTCCGACGTTATGTTTCTAAGATATGTTTTTAAATGCTTTAAAGTAGAAAATGATCTTTCTCCCGAAGTCCCGATGCTGTAGTTACAAGGAAAATAATTAAGTATTTTAATAGTTTGTGAACTGTGGGGAAAACATTCAAATTAAACTGTAATTATAAATTTTACCTTCCTAGCTTTGTCCAAAATACAAACTTATATCATAAGAACAAAAAATCAAAATGTGTTCTTTATTTAATTCACTTGTACATTCAATTCTAACTTAATTTAAACTAGTTTAAAACAAACAATTAGTAACAGGTTAAGAAATAATAATTTTATTTGTTTATATTTAATTTCCTTACATCATTCATAGAATCTAAATTAGTAAGTACTAGAAGTAGAACTATCATTTTTTGAATTGTAATGTAGTCGGGATTTTACAGGTATCTGAAGCAATAAATATATATATGAATATAATTAGATAGGTAACTCACTAAAAACAAATTTTTAGAACGCAATTAAATTCTCACTTCTTGAAGATTATCTTCATCCTCAGAAGTTTTCGATCTTTTAAGTTCCACTTTTAAATAATTTAAAAACAATCTTTCTTTAGGTTCACTCAATTTTTATATACAACACTATGCAATCACTAACTAAATAAATAATAATTCACCAAATCAAGGTGGATAAGTATACAATTACCAAGATTAATAATTACACACCCTGCACCAGAATAATAACTTTGTAATAATGATATCGATACGAATCATAGGCGTGCGTAAACTTTATTCGCAGGTTATGCAACAAGAAAAATCGGGCCCCTCAAAAATTTTTGACGACTACATAACTGTGAGTAGGTAATTAATCTACACTTATTACATTCATGTCTGTGAGTACACTTTGTGTCAAGTAATAATAACCACTCTTTATTAATTATATATATTTTTGTCGTTTTCGATACTATTAGTTAAGAATTTAGGATATTAACCAAGTAAGAATTATTTGTAAGTAATTATTATTCTATTCAATTATGTACAATGTAATATAGATTTTATGAAGGAAGTTTTATTTTAAAAATTATATTTTAACAATTATATATTACATTGTTATAATACGAGTTTAGACTGCTTAGTGCTTAGCTAAGTTTTTTTTGTTTTTAATTTTTTTCTCGCATACAAAATACATTCGGGAATTTAAATAAAATGCTATTATATTTTTGGTTAATGCATTTACATGTTCATCACACCCGAGTAATTTTATATTAAATTTGTCTGTCCTAAAGACAGCGTCCTTAGCTCATCTAATATTAAAAATAATACATTTTTTTTGTATTTTAGTTTTTGCAATAATTGAGCAAATTACATCTTCGAGCTAAAACTAATAATAATTATTATTAATTAATGTACAAATACATAATAGGTACATCTATGTAAATTATTTGCATATTTATATTTATTATATATTTATATATTATTATATTACTTGGTATATAAATAATTTCATAAAGTTCTTTAGATGGTACAAGTAAATAACCAATTAGGTACCTMAATGAGAATTAAAAATAGAATATTWTCAATTTATAAGTATTATTAATTATTATTATGTATATTATATAATTATTTTAATTGATAATATATTCAATTCTCTATTGTAGATCTATCTTCTCTAGTTCTCTACATCATACTTAATATTTTTTGTTTGGGACTTGGGTTAGTAGGTAGTATCAGTATATTTGAGCTTTTATTAGCAGTTTGACTAGTACCAGTACCTTTTACCTATTGTTCTAAATTGTACCTATTTACTAATTCCATTTTTGTACATATATGTATCATACATTTTATTTAAATCCATATATTTGTACAATATGGCTGAATAGTGAGTACCATATATTATTACAATTTTTACGTAATAATTGGTACACGATTCCAAAACAATTGTGTATTTTAATAATCCATACAATATAACATAAAATATATTATATTGGCATGCACATTATTGACATTTGAATAACAATTAAAATAAATAAAATTTAAATATAAATAATCTACATTACGACTCGTATAAAAAATAAAGGCCTTCGTGCGAATGGTAGCGTGCTCTGGTGATCAATTCTGAACTACCATCTGCTGCGATTTTTTGCGTCAATATTGTAACATTGAAAGATACGAGAGTGGTGTCATCTTATCTTCTCTACATCGTGATTGTGACATAGATCTTATACTCTTAGGCGGAACAAGCTAGTAGTTCCCGCGGTAAACGGTTGCTGCGCTGCACCGAGTGGAAGCCGGTAGGTACAAAAAAACACATATAGTACAACATTATTATTTATTATTTACACAAAATGTTAACATCAATGTTATTTTCTTAATACATAACTGGTAAATTTAATATACAATCGATCAATAATAAATACAAGTAACACATAACTAAAACATATACTTTATGCAATACACTTGGTACATAATAAGTAAATTTAACATCAATTAATTATAAAATTATATCGTGTTCAGCTTATGAACTTGACTAGTTTAATTTACAGTTGAAATAACTTAGTTTTTCCTAGTTGACTTAAAAAAATATTGCTWTATTAGTATAAAATAAAAATAATCCAATACTATAATAACACAAACATATTTTCTATTCTTTATCTTKATAACATAATTTTGTTTGTTGTATTAATATATTTTATTAGATTAGAAAGGAAATAACATTCATTCTTTATGTGATTTACATACTAATTTAAAAAAAAAATAGATTAACTTTTTTTAACTAAGTTAATATATTTTTTCCATTTTAACTTTTAACTTATTGATCTTATATACTCTTAAGTTAACTTAAGTTAATTATTTTCATTAACTTGCCAAAGATTTATAGACACAACCAACATCCCTGATTATAGGTACATAGTACATATACGAGTACAAACAACAATTTCAATAACGGGTAGTATTAATTTCTTTTCTTTAATACAGTAAATATATACAAACAACAATTTCAATAACGGATAGTATTAATTTCTTTTCTTTAATACAGTAAATATATACAAACAACAATTTCAAAAACGAGTAGTATTAATTTCTTCTCTTTAATACATTTGAATCATATACACAGAAAAACTGTTATAACATTATTTTATTTACCTCAGCGTCTTGATTTTCCATTTTTATATATTTTACAATGGGGGGCTATAATAGTGCGATTCACGATTCACGACACGTATCACATTATCAACTCTGATAAAGATTACATGTTAAATTGGTGGAGTGGTGGGAGGTATATTAGGAGCCGCGATGGCACGATTTAAAATTTCGCGTGTCGTTCAGTGTCGGTCAGAGAACTCACTTTACTGTCGACCGGTTCGGAGTCTCGGCGGATCGACCGTTCCAGGCGCGCTTATCGCGTGTCGTCCGTCGTCGATTGGCGGTTGAAAAGAGAAGTAATTGAGCGGGTGTCCGCGCAAAGGCCGTTTGAATTCAAACGGCTATTACGCGGGCCCGCGTCAAATGATATATTAGATATCACGTTAATCATATTACTTATTACTTATTATGATAACACTACAG